TGATGGTTAGAGTTGTAAATCTCCGTTATATTACTTGATCACCTTGAACCTTGAACTTTTTGACCTTCTACCGGAAGCTTATGAAAATTCTGAAAAAAACCGCCTGATCAAGCTTCACCGATCAATTAGGCAAAAAATTACTCCAGCTCTATCCCTACATGATTTTGGTGTTGGTATAGGCATTCAGTGAAATCCTTTGAAAAAAAAAACTTTGCTTACGCTACGGAATGATCCATTATTTCCATTTTTATGATTTTCCACTTTTCTTCTTATTGCTTCGTATCGTCCTCCCCTGTCCCTCCTTATTTCGATTGATATATTTCCTTTAGATTGTTTTTCTAGATCTTGCTTCTGATGAATGTATTTATTGGATAGAAAGTAGGGAGCTTTGAAAGTTTGAACGGTAACGGGAGTCGCATTTGAAGCAAACCCCGGGAGTAGCACGACTTGAGGGAAGGATACCGTGAGGGAATTGTAAGGTCCCTACCTAGATCACTCCAGCTTCGCCGCAAAAGTTGCGCGGTTAGGGCGCTAATCCTTACGGGCCTGCAACCATCGACCCCGTTGCAACGCTTCCCACCCACCTCGATATCGGCGTGATCTCTCGCGTGTTTTGTCTTCTTTGACCGCCCTGCCTCGCCATCGTTCCACATCCGACCTTTTTGAAGGTTAAGGCCTTAATTTCAGCGATCCCAAAGATTTCTCTAGCTTTCCTTTCCACTTTCAGGCCGTCAGCTCAGTCATCACTACGAAGCGCTCTTATCACCGGTTTTATCCCTGGGCTTGCCTTTAAAAAATTCATTAGGGACTGTATCTTTTCATTACTATTTTATCTTGAAAGCCTTTATGGGCCGTAGGCTATCCTTTCCCCAAGCTAGCTGACCCAAAGTTTCCTTTTGATTTATTTGTTTTGAACGAAATAGTTTCTTCATTTTCAGTGCATGTTTACTTTTACCTACATACATACATTAAATGTAGGCCCTTTATCAGGCCCCTTATCAGGGCAATCCAATTTTGAAGACAGAGAAATTTAAAGAGATTTTCGTCCCGTTACCCCTTGGGGAGGACAGCACACGACCCTATCCGTCTCTGTTGTCGATCTGCCTCACTTTCTTTATGCTTGTAATTGATCTGAGCTAGTCATAACAGCGCCTGAATGCATCCATCAAATGATAAATATCTAATTAATCACTTAGTCTTCATGTAAGACCCGTGGCCGTTACCCATTTATTCAATTTTCAGGAACCCCATCTCCTTATACGAATCATCGCACGGAGTGTAGGCAGCAACACCCCCCCCCCCTGCCAATGGCAACTCGGGATCAATACCAGAGCGTACCTTTCAAAGTTCGTTGTTTTTTTTTGTTTCACTTTTTCAATTGCTTTATCAGTAATGTTTTGTTTCAGGTAACTCGCAAACCCTCTATTGTCCTCACTACTTCCGGGGAGAATCTCCTTTCGGTCGGATTTTTCTCAATCACCGTTGATCCTCTGAATATGGACGTGAAAAAAATTCTGTCAAAGTTTAAAAAGAATTCAGGTGCGACTATTTTATTAAAATTTCAGAATTAATAGTTCACCGTTAAGCCCGGTTGCGTTTGTCATGCCCTACGAGTCGATTTTTCATCACCAATACAATCCTACTTACTATAAAGCGCTTCGTCTGTCGTCGTCTGTCGTCTGTCGTTCTGTATGTCTGTCACGAAATTCCCTAGCTCCTCGGGATCCCTGGAGGGACCGGGTCAAGTGTGGGATGGGTGGGCAAGGTCTCACGAAATACAAAACACACATCAGCTAAGCGGAGCCCCGCCCACAGAGGGCGTGGCGTGCGTCGAAATGAACTGTACCGAAGACCAAGATTTCGATTTCAGTGACAAAACGACCTCGAAACTGGGCCAAAAAGTGGGTAAAGGTGTGCATTGGTAAGTCACATCGAATTAGGGAGACCCACCCCCGGTGGGGGGCGTTCTCCAAAAAAGCAGTGCTTTATGAAAAATTTCATAACTCGGTTGGGAGAAAGCCTACAGAGCAGAAAACAATTTGGTGTAAGGGAGCAATGTCTAAGGTGTTTCCTGCATACATGACGTGGGCGGAGGCCCGCCCAGAATGGGCGGGGCGCGCTCTGAAGTGTACAGCATTTTCTACAAGCCCTCATAATTCGGGTCGGGGAAGTCTTAAAGAGCCGGAAAAAGGTGGATAGAGGTGTATGGAGGAGTGGAGGCCAGCTGTCAATGGTGGGCGGGGCTTGACCAAAGTGGGCGGAGTTTGCGACGAAAATTCATAACTCGGCTCCAAGAAGTTCTAGAAATAGGGAAAACGGGGTTGGAGGTTAGCGAGGGAAAAGAGCTCAACTGCTATTAGTGGGCGGAGCACGCACCTAAGTGGGCGGAGTTTGCCAAAAGTGTCGTAATTTGGTTCCAAGAGGTCCCAGAGACCGGTGAAAAAGGGGGTAGAGGTCGGCGAAAAGAAGGGAGCCAAATGCTATTGGTGGGCGGGCGGAGCACGCACGAGGTTTGCCACGAGATTTATTGTCCGGAAGCAGTCCGGAGACCGAGAAAAAGAGGATAATGGTTGACGAAGAAAAAAAGGTTGAAAGCCGTCGATGATGGAGCGGATAGAATTTAGCTGAGAATTCAGATATTCGTGTGTATCAAGCCAAATTTGAAAATTTTCGCCACAGATCCCCTAGTGTCCAATGATAAACAATTGCGGCAATGGCCTGGGAGGAGGGGGAGGGAGGGTGCGGCATTTGATGTGCATTTGTATTTGGTCACCCGAGATATGCAGCTATTCCCAAAAAAAAACTGGAAAGCTGGGTGGTCTGGGCTCAGTTCAAACTGGTAACTGTGGGATGTTGCGGCCTTGCTGGCTCTCCTCTGCTACTGAGCAACCGGCAACCAACCGAAAAGGAACTTACGCATTTAAACGGACGAGCTCGAAAAACAGGACCTCTGGGATTAAACGGCGCTGGGCGCAAAAGTGATATTTCGGGGAAAGTGAGCGACGAGACTACCGGGCACCAGATGTAATGGGGCAAAAAACGAAACTAAAGGTGATGGGAGGGTTCATTGACGGGAGTAAGAATTTGTGCTGCCGCAATAGGGCTTACTATTCACTATGGAAAAAATATGGATTATTTAGCGTCATTAGTTCGATTTAAGTCAGTGCATCTGCTTTACAGAGCGTGGATCACCATCTCAGTCAACATCTAGGAAAAGCGACGAGTCATTTTTTGTGGATGGTATGCTAGCATCCTTTTGAGGGCACATTCCGCGACCGAACCACTGAACCAATCCTTCCCGCAAATAAGGTTGTTGGAGTCGAAACCTCAGATATAGGGTCACTTTTGTTGATCACAATGCGACCCCCTCCCTTTAGGGCGGTCTCGATGCGACCCTCACCACCATGGTACTTATTAGGCTCCCCCAGTACGACCCCCCCTCTCCCACCTCCCGAAAACTATCACTATAATGATTGTTTCTGTAGCATTTAATTCTGAGACCAGTCGAAACAGCCTCCCCCCCTACTCCGCACACTATTCCCCAAAACGGCAGTTGAGCAGGTGGGGTGGAAGGGGGTGATGCTATAATGAAGCCGCAAATGCTCGAAAGTCTTCCAGTTCTCCTACTCTCCTAGGACTTTCACCGAATCCGTCAAAAAAATCGGTCTAACTGGCAATAAACCGCAGCCCCTTTTACCTACCTCCGCCCGCACTTCTCCAGAGATCATTAACCTCGCTCAACCCCAAAATGCGACCCCACTCGTCGAATAGTGCGAACGGACGGTTGACACTGCTTGCAACATGATCACCTCAAGGTAACCCGCACTGCCATCGCCGTAGTACTCCCGTCCCCGTTATGCTCTCTCTCGTCTCCGCCGATCACTCTCCTTGCCTCCACTTAGAAAGTTTTCCAGTGATTTCTTTTCCTTTTCCTCTTTTCTCTCATTTTTTTCTTTGGCAAATCAATGAGCACCTACTATTTTATATCTGAGCAAACCTGTACCAAGTCGATCCTTCGGGGTGAAGGCCCGATTGGCCAGGACCGAGTACAAGCCAAGGGTTGATCCAGGGACCGTCCGCATGATGTGCGTCGCCAATGCCACTTCACTACTCCTGCCTTCTGTTAGAAACTTGTGGGGAGAATAGAGGAGCAGATTTCGTCATCAGGGGCCGTATCGAATCTTTATCCAAGTGAACGCGTCCCTCGCCCCTGATTAATCCTCGTCTTTTGGAGGTTGGGAGAGACAGGGCTGCGTCATGGGACCCGCCATCAAACGTTCAAGTTCTAGCTACCCTCCAATCTTGAAGCACTCTTTTAGCTGAGGTGGCGTGTTCTGACTGTCTGAGGGATGGAAAGTTGGGGGTATGGGTGGCCCTATGACGCAACCCTTTCCTGTCCCGCCCCCTCCCCCTCAAAACTGAGGGAGGATTGAATCAGGCGCGGGATTCCCCTGGGAAAGGACTGAATATGGCCCCAGCTGTAAACCGCTTATCAATCATGGACTGATCCCATACATATTTACCCCATCAGTGTTGTCGAGGAATGTGCCCTATTATTCCCTATTAATCTTGTTGAACATTACCTCATTTAGACCACTACGATCTGCTGTTCGGCAGGCCGACCCTCTTGAACCGACTTCCACCAAGGAAGCTTTATTGTCGCAAGGAACAGGAAGACTTTTCATACTGGGATGATGACAATAGCCAGAGCACTTCATCGACTCGCTCGCTCTGCTCAAGCTCTCCTAACAGCAACACCCGGAGTGGGAAAACCGCCCAGGACGACCTTCCCCCGCTTCAGCCGCTACTCAGCCAGCACTTGAAGAAGAGTCCAATATTTCCTCCCAAACTCCCACAATCTAGACCAAAAAACTTCACCCACCATCTCATAAGCGAGCACCCTTGGGCACGATACGTTACTGTCCGTGAACGTCCTCTCTCTATCTGAGGACTGCGTCACAAGCTCTCTTCCACTTGAAGTTTATCGCCACATTCCCGATATGGGCTATTTTTCGTACGAATTCGTCAGTCGCTGTTCCCTCGCTATCACCAGCAGCCCAACTCCACTCAGCCACTTCCAATCTTCGAGCTCATGCGTCTTCCAGGACGCTGTCGACTTTCGCAAGCATTCGTTGAAGATCATTGACCAGCTCCAGAATGGCACTTATGTGGCGCGTCAGAATAATTTACCAGTGACCCCTTCGGGCTCAATTGCAACAACTATTCTTCCAATTCCTTGGCACAGTACCCCAGTTCTTTATCAAGTTGTGTCTCGAGAGCAAAGTGAAACGGTCATTATTGAAGCGAAAGACTTCTTCATTTTCGGCCCCGATCGTGCCGAGCTGCAGTGCATTGTGCTCGACCAGTTTTCCACGAATATAAAGTCGCGTACGCGTGGTTTCAGCAGCAAGCTGGTGTCCGTTAAGGACTTCGTCTGGGTGTATTCTGTAGAACCGACGGCTGAGGCCCTTGACAAACCGTCATCGGTTCTTGAGCGGGCACGTAAACCCAGAAGTACTGCTCTCGACATGCACGTACCGTACTTCTTCCGAGCACGAGGAATTCGTCTTCGTCACCCCTCCAACGGCACCTCATCGCGTCTTTGGTCTTGTATTGGAGGGTGAAGACACAAGTTTCCGCCCCTGCAAAGTCGCGTTTGAAAGTGTTCCTGATGCAGTAACTGTCTCTCCCAGAGTTCTACGGAGCTTATCACGAACTATGAAAAAGGATGACATCGTGCTTGCTGATACTCGGGTCAATGTCTCCACAGCGATTCGCTTTTCCGAGTCGCCTGCCTCGGTGGAAGATCAGCTCGCTCTGTGCAAGCTGGTCCGTCCAATCATCCCTTCCCATCCGCAAGAAGGACTGCTACCGTTGAAGATTTTCGATATTCCTCGTGACGAGAGGGACTGGATCGATGACCGAATTGGAAGATTCACAAACTACTTCAAAAATCCCCGAGAAGCCCACCACAAAATGACCCAGCTGTTCAATGTGGGCTGCTCTGCTCTGCTTGCCATCGAAGGTATGAACGACGACCAGTGCACAAGGAGACTGACAGCTACAGTACCCAGCCTCACTGCTTTTCCGATTCGGTTCCACTTCACTTTGCACCTGGAGTCAGAAGTCGGCTGGACAGCGAATCGCTCTGTGTTCTGTGGATAGTTGGTGCTGCTTCTGTTGTGCGCGTCTCCATTCTGAGAACAAAATTTGACCCTCAGAGAAGGACCCTCGACATCCAACTCGTCTCTTCAGCTCGCCTCCACCGCTCTCTCATGCAATCGGTAAATGAATTTAGTTGGAAAGAGAAGGGTACCAAGCTAGCCCGCCAGTGTGTCAATCGGACAGTGCCAGTGTACCCGATGCTCACCAAGCACAAGCTCTTCGAGAACATCACGAGAAACAGCGAGTGTCGAGGAGCGCAGGTGCTCGATGCGGTCTACAACAACCTGTCCTCCTATAAAATAGCTGGTTCCGACTACCTGTATGCTGACCGAACAGCAAAACGAATCTCCTTGGATGGCAAGTCCCTCGAACTTGGTTCAGACCAGGTGGCTGCTATCCGACTAGGATGTGATGATCGTCGTCCAATTGTGGCCATTCGAGGACCATTTGGCTCAGGAAAAACTCTGGTTGCTGCTTTGATAGCTGCACGGGTTGTGCGCAAACAAAAAGGCTTTTCTATCATCACTGCCACCACAAATGGCGCAGTGGCGCAAATCACCGACACCGTTCTGAAACTCGATGAGTACAGAGACCTGTCCCGTGCTGCGCTACGTGTCCGACACTTCGCTTATCGAAGGTAATCCCTCGACCACTGTCGATATAAATAGCATACTGAAACGCCTACCCGATGACTATTTTGAACAGTTGTCGCGTGAGGATTTGAGGACTTGTCAAAGTTTCAAAAAAGGGCGTGAGCTACTGGAGAAGTACTTATTCACCCCGGAAAACGGGTTACATCTGACCGCGTCTGAGCAAAAAGAGTACCGTCTGGCCGAGCAGGAGGTTTCCGCCATCACATCCAAAGTGGTCCAGCTGATGTTCAGATTGCGGAAGCCGGCTATCATATGTATGACGACGTCAGCCCTACTGAACTCTACTGATAAGGGAGGCATCTTCCATGGCCTTCTGCAGGACTGCCACACGGTCATCGGGGACAACGCTTCGCATATTCCTGAGCCGGAATTCGTGGCTATCACGAATCGCCTGTTCAATGCTCGTCATGTCTACATTGGTGACCCCCTCCAGCTCCAACCCCACATTCGCTGTGCTCGCCACGCTCTTCCTGCAAGACTCGGAGCACGAGGAATGATGAATCTTCTCAGTGATAAACGCGTTCCCTCCCTCTCAATGGTGACCACATTCCGAGCCCATCCAGGTCTGAACGAGCTCCCGAACGAACTCTTCTACAGTGGCACTCTCAGAGACGGGGCTGACGAGTACCAGCGTGGTTTGTTTCCTGGACCATGTCCGCTGCCCAGACCCATGTTACCCGTTCGTTTTCGTTGATATTCCTGAAACCAACACGCGATCCGCGCCGCAGGCGGATTAGAAACCAACTTCAACACCAGGGAAGCTGATGTCTGCCAATTGATCGTCACCTCCCTATTGTCCAAAGGAATTAAGCCGGAATGCCTCGGGATCGTCACATTCTACAGAGGGCAGCGCCATCTTCTCGAGCAATTTGCCAAGGATTGTTCCGTCGATCTGCTCACTGTTGGTTCCTTTCAAAATCGTGAGAAGGAGATCGTCATTCTGCTCACCACAAGGTGCCACGGTGGGGATAAAGATTTACTGGGTGACAGTAATCGTATGAACGTCGCACTGACTCGCTGCAGCCACGGACTGTTTGTTCTTGGAAGCATGCGATTCCTAAAAACAGTAGACAACTGGAATGCGGTCATTCGATGGGCCGAGTCTCGCAAGGCAGTGGTGGACAAGGAAACTCTAAAACGAATTCTCGCATGAAACTTCTGAACATTTTACAACCTTCGGTGAGTTTTGCCCACTTTTTCAAGCCTTTCTCTTTTAGAAATACTGTTTGAGAATTCATGTTCAGAAATCCTGCCTGCTATAATCCATCAATAATCACAGTATCCATCACCAGATAATCAATAACCCATCGTTGGTAATCAGTAACAGCAATATTTATTGGTACGTCCTTTACGAATCCTCCTTATCGCTAACAAATCTTAAAGGCAGTGGTCACGATAGCTGAGGGGCGTTGCAGTTTGTATGACGTCACTGAACATCATTGGTGGAAGGACGTCTAGAGATCAGGGTCAACCGTCCGTTTCACAAAGTCCAACGAGGGTAGGTGGGGGTCATATTTGGGGGTGTGAAAAGGGGAGGTCGCATTTCGCGAGGTAGCGTTAATGTTACAGTGAAGGGAAGGGATAATTTTTCATGTAACGGAGAGCGGATTAGGGTTGTTGACTGGGATTTTGAGTGCGAAAATTTTCTCGTTCCACATTCGATATATACCCCCGCTCGACAGCAATTTTAGGAGGGGGAAGTGGGCGGGGTTAAGCTGTGTCGACTGGTTCCAGAATTAAGTATATAGAAATCCCATGATGTGCGATGGTACGGGGGGTTCTCTATCGGAGCGCCCTCTAAAAGCGGGATTGCAGGAGGGGGGTCATATCGAGGCCCTATAAAAGGGAGTAGGGGGTAGTAAAATTTTCGAAATTGGTCCAACGTGACGGTTGACCCTGCTAGAGATGGTCCCAACCACTAATGATGCTCAGTGTCCCTCACGACTGCACCACCCAGCCATCGCGATCCCTGCCTTTGAGCTGTAACCTATAATTTTTATATATTCAGGGAAATATTTAAAAACACATATATTCATATATCACGTAAGAAGGAAAGATACAGCCTTCGCTTTGGTCGATTGGTATTCAGCATAGAATTTCTACCGTATCAATAGTAAAGCGCTTATCGCAGTGTGTACCTCCACATTATCACAATATTATCGCTTCTTCGTAAAAAGAGGTACGTGTTACAATATTTCACAACAATCTATTTCTGGCGGGGAGGGGGGATGGCCATGCGGATTGAGTCTAGGAGAGGATGAACTTGGTAGAAAATGAACAGGCTCACACATCCATCCCCTAGTGCTCCCTAAGTCTCGTCCTAGGGGAGTTGGGAGAAGCTGGATGTGTTGGGCATCGCCAAATGCCCGCCCCTCGTCCAATTAGATCAGCGCCCCCTTTCCACTTTATCATGTGGTTTGTGGTCATGAGATCACTACTAGGAGAACATTGCAGTGGTCAAAATACTACATGTAGAGCTCAAATTCATTCCCTGCTTCAAAATGCGTGACTAAAAGATTACAGAATAGATCAATGATGACCCGATTACGCTATCTGCTACCATTTGTGGAACCCAGTCATTTCATGAAAACAGAGAGAGCTCAAAAAGAATGAATTCAGCCGAAAATAGTAGAGCAAATCAATGCCGAGGTCAAACCAGAGCCGCACAGCGCGACTTCCCTCGAAGGTAATGAAGGAGGGTATTTTCTTCACCTCGTCGAACCTGCTATTGCTTTGTTGATGGCGGGCACGGTTTTTTAAACTAAAATTTTATGTAGGCAGCGCCAACTGCCCTCAAGCCGAGTGGAAAAGGAGAACAGCATTTAGGCCGATGTCAGACTTTGCGAATCGCGCGATTCGCTACTAGCGATTCGCGCGATTCGCTAGCGTCCGCGGTACCAGCCAATTGAGTGATTCACTGGCCGCGACGCGACCGCAGACGCTAGCGAATCGCGCGATTCGCAAAGTCTGACATCGGCCTTAGTGAGAGAGCGAGAGTGAGATGGGGGAGGAGATGAGTGGGCGTAGGGTCTTGCTTCGTGGTTCAAATGAATATTTGTTGAAGTCGAATCGCATTTTGTGAAGGCATGGGAAAGTACACTTTAGAAAAATGGGAAAATTTTTTTCACGCAATCTGGGGAACTTTTACTTGGAACTGCAAACGTTACAGCAGGCTTATATGCTCCCTCCATGTGGGCCAGGAACAATTTGCTGGGAGCTTAATGGCACGAGGTTTTGCAAAACAAAATTTTGAAAATGACCGAACTCGGTCATCTACACCAGTGAGAAATTACGCCTCATCAGTCTGCCATTCGATCCTTGAGGAGCTTGTAAATTTCATCCCCTCAAAATACGGACTCTGGAACTCTCAGAAGCCGCTCACTGCCTTGTCTCGAACTTTATTGCGTGCAGGTAATCTGGAGGTGCTGAAAAGGCGCTTATCAGACTGGATGAGGTCAGGGCTGAAGCGGTGCTGAGCGAATGTCAGCAAGCCTTCATTTTTAAACTATCATTGTCCTGTAAGGTCGTGGCAAAAGTTGGTGGCCATCTCCGGCTCACGTCGGAGATAGCTAGTAATTAGCTAGGCCCTCTAGTAGCCCACAGCCGCGTGCAAGTGCTGGCTCATCAGCCAGCTCCAGCATTGAGTGGGAAAAAATCGGGACGAAGAATCAGTTTAAAAAACTCTCAAGACTACATCAGCTTTTTTATCAGCCTAGTGATATAATCCCTAGGCTGCTTGTCTGAGTTTTCTGTGGCTTATCACTGACGGAATCTACAAGGATCAGAGAGACTTCTTTTCAGGAAGTGTTCAATTTTACCAGCTATACAACAGCTGCTTCCTTCCTTAGCGGCGAGCATTTTTGGCAACAGT